TGGCCCATAAAATTAATCCATGTCCACATAAATACTTATACACAAACTTTTTTCCTTATAAACAAGGCTTCAAAATGTAGCCCAGGCTGGCCACCAACTCTCTACCCTGTCTCTGACTCCCCAAGGCCTGACTCTTGACCTTATATAGAAGTGTTTATTATAGGCAGCACTATTCCCTCTTTCCCCAAAGTGGAAACTATTGAAGCCCAGTATTTTATTCATTAAGACTGAATAAATAGGACAGGTTGTGGTAGTGCACACTTTTAATCTTAGCATTTGACTGAGAGGCAGGTAGATCTCTAGGACTTGAAGTCAACCTGGTCTGCAAAGCTAATTCCAGGACAGTCAAGGCTACAAAGAGAAACCCAAAAAACAAACCCTAAAATAAAAGATTGAATAGAAAATAACACATTATGAAAGAAAATAAAGTACTGACTGATGCTGAGTGAGCAATCTTAATCAAAGAAGTCAGACAGTAAAGGTTAAAGTATCTGCAAAGGCCAAGTAGAATAGACTATAGTTTCTAGCTACCAGAATCATTGCTTCTTTGTGGGGACACTACAATTGATTACACTGATGGATACACAATTCTGTGACCATACTAAAATTCAATAAATTTTTTGTGTGAATTATATATCTCAAAGCTATTCTTTAAAATAAAAAAAGACGCTTGATAAAATTTTCCAGGTGTCAACCTCAGATTACACAAAGTGCAGACTCACACACTTGGAATACCAAAATTAAGTCAATGCAGAAATTATCTTTTTCTCATGTACACAGTAAGAATTGAGAAATAAATTACAGAAATTGATACTTATACATGATTTTTTGTTTTTGTTTGTTTGTTTGTTTGTTTGTTTTTTTGAGACAGGGTTTCTCTGTGTAGTCCTGGCTGTCCTGGAACTCACTCGGTAGTCCAGGCTGTCCTCGAACTCAGAAATCTGCCTGCCTCTGCCTCCCAAGTGCTGGGATTAAAAGCGTGTGCCACCACCAACCGGCCTTTTTTTAGTTATTGGTTTTTTTTTTTGATACTTATACATGAAATCAACAATAAAAATAATGTGTTCAACATTTTTTAAAGTAGCCAATATTTACTAACAACATAAAAGTTCTGTTTAAAAAATAAAAAAAGCAGCAGGGCAGCTGGTGGAGCGTATCTTTAGTCTCAGCACTGGGGAGGCAGAAGCAGGTTAATCTCTGTGAGAAGCCAGCCTGAACAACACAGACAAGATAAAAATGCTGCCCATACACATTTATTATCCACTTCATCTCCCTTTAAAATACTTTCTGCAGATCAGGGTTGAAACAACCTATACCTACTCAACACACTGCAAACTGCTAAACAGGAAAGTCAAAGCAGCTGTTCGGGCTCAGTAAGTTTACCACAATTACTAGAAACTTCAATGCTATTATCTTAGTTAAAACTCTCATTTCCTATATGTATGGCAAATTCCTATCCAATTGCTAAAATGCTCTTTTAGGTACCAAGTATACAGTACAGAATAAAAGTACAGTAAGAAAAGCAAAGCCAGTCGGGTGGTGGTGGCGCACGCCTTTAATCCCAGCACTTGGGAGGCAGAGGCAGGCAGATTTCTGAGTTCGAGGCCAGCCTGGTCTACAGAGTGAGTTCCAGGACAGCCAGGGCTACACAGAGAAACCCTGTCTCAAAAAAAAAAGAAAAGAAAAGAAAAAGAAAAAACCAAAGCCAAACAAAACCCTGTCTTGTGGAACTTAATTCTGATCAAAGAAAAAGTAACTTACAGAAAAATCTGCTCCATGTGCATACCACATGTACTAAGTGAAATAGCAGCAGCAACATTTTCTCACAATTCTCATTTTGCAAATGTCCAGTGTTTTCTTACTAGAACAATAAAAGCCACAGGACTTACCAGATATTATTAGAAAGCGGTTTTTTTTCCAAGACACGGTCTCTCCATGTAGCCCTGGCTATTCAGCAACTTGCTCTGTAGATCAGGCTGGCCTCAATATCATAAAATCCCTCTGCCTCCAGAGTATTTGGGATTAAAGGCTTGTGTCACCACACCCAGCTCCATTAGCAATTTTCAATGACAAACATCCCTTCTTGATCACAGAATCAGTAGGTGGCCTAGGCTATCCTACAACTGGAGCTCCTCCTGCCTCTCTACCTGCTGAGTGCTGAGACTACAGGGCTGTGATGCCCTTCTTTCCAACCTTTATTGTTAATCTCACAAATTCATTCAAACTTAGACATCACAATTTTAACTTTTATTTTGCACGTGTGTATGCTGTGCATGTATGGGTCGAAGGAAGTTATGAGACAGTGTCAGTTCCCCACGAGCTGAAGTTACAGGACATTCATTCATCATAAACCACCACTGTAGGTCCTCTGGAAGAGCAGCTGAGCCATCTTTCCAAACTCTAAACATCAAAATACTATATAACCACACAAACCATGACAGTGGGTTGTCAGAGACAGACTGCTCAAAATGGCTTCTCTTTAAAAACAACTCCAAGCAGGACGTTGTGGCTTCCAGCACTTGGGAGGCTGAGACAGGAGGACTGCCAAGTTTGAGGACAGCCTGGACTCAACCTTGTCTCAAAAAACTGCCTCCAGTGCCTAGAGAAGGCATTTTTGTAACTACTGTTCTTGCTGAGGACCCTGGTTCTGGTCCCAGCATTCTCATGGCTACTCACAACCATCTGTAAACCATCTGTTCAGGAGAATCTGAGGCCCTCTTCTGGTCTCCAAGGGCAGAATGTATGTGGTGCACAAATATTAATAAAAATAATCTCAAATCTACAGAACTTCTAACTCTCAAGTCATTCAACAGCCTGAATTGTGTAACTTGAAAATACTGCCGGCTTCTATAGCTCCAAAAGCCAAAGTGTAATTTGGTACAAAGATCACAAAAACTGGCTCAAAAAGATTATCTTTTGGAAACAAAGTCTAAATTCCTTTAAACAATTCAATAATTTAGTGGAAATTCAGTAAGGGGTCTAAGGTTCTCCAGCCATCCTTAGAGAAGATCTCCCCCTTGCAGCCCTCCAAACTAGATACACAGACATTCAGAACATCCAAACCGCCCCAGCCACTTTTGCATCCTAGCTTTCAACAGTAGGCAAAATCCCTTATCTTTAGCACTTTGCATTGCCAGAATGCTAGCAAGATAAAGAGGTTTACTTCCAGTTAAGACCAACTAATACCACTTAAAAAGACTTAAGTCTTTAAGACTTAAATATTAAATAATTAAATAAGTCCTTAAATATTTTGTCGTCTACCAAAGATATGATGGACAACTCGCAACAATATATTTTCTAATAGACTCGGGGCTTTTCCTTCTAGATTTGATCAATTCAAAGTCTTTGACAGAGTTACCTTCTCCAACCTTCCTAGTTGAAGCTCTGGGGAGGAAGGGTTACCGATAAATGCCCTCCATGGAAAGATCATTCCCCTTCCAAATTAAAAAAAGTCCTTGTAAATTATTGCAAAGTCCATAAAACAGACTTCTTGAAATTGGAAACACATTCACAATTCCTTTTAATTTCTTTTTAATTTCTGTGCATGACATTCTTTACAACTTCCAAGGTCTAGTTCCAGGTACTAACAATTTAGGAAAGTTGACATCTCCATTCATAAAAATTTTCCAACCTTTATTATAGCACTAAAGGGCACATTGGCTTAGAAGTATACTGCGAGCTGGATTTTAGTAACCAAGGACTATTAATTCCACCTTTGATGATAAGTAAAGACAATTCGATTCTCAAGAGGGCTGCTGCAAAAGATCACTGGCATCCAACATATACACACACAGAGAGGAGATAATCTCACGAGATTTCGAAAATCATAAACAAGTAAACAAGCAGGCTAAAACACTTAAAAAAAAAAACTTATCTTGAGTAACAGGGAGGTCAGCCACACTCAACAGAAGCACATGACTCATCCACCGGTCTGAGCGAAGTATTCACACTGTCCACTACACTAACGTGGGATTTCCATCTCCAACCCAGCTCCAGCTCGGCCTTGGGGGCTTCTCCTTTAAGTGTTATTTCGGTGTTTGTGTGTGTGTGTGTGGGGGGGGTCATTTTGCTGAATCACAACTCCTCAACGTCCCCACCCAAGACCGACACATTCCTGCAAGTAAGAAGCCATTGCAAGGGACGCCACCAAGCAGAGACCCATCAAAACAAAGCACCCAAAGAGTGGGCTTCCAGGTTGGGAGTGGGTGGGTCGAGAGGGACTCCTGGTCCTTCGTCACCTTCCTGTCCCCTGGGTCCCGCCTGGAGCAGGAGTACGATGGAAGCCCTCTCTCCGTGGGCAAAAATCTTATATACCTCTCTCTCTAGGTAGAGCTCCGGGGACAGCCGGAAAGGTGAGACTATGGAAGCGGGAACTCGCTATCCCAGCACTGGCAGGAGTACCCAGCTGACGGAAGGAGAGCGCGCCGGGGCACCACGCGCAGGAGCGGCCCGCCCCAAGGGGGAACCGCAACCAGAGAAACCAGCGGCACCCGAGGCCAGCATCCCCGTCCCGGACTTACACGGGCCGGGCGCGCACCGCAGATCCCGCGGCAGCCGCTTCCTCCTCTTCCTCTTCCTCCTCCTCCTCCTCCTCCTCCTCCTCACTTGACAAAATGGCGGCGGCAGGAAGTGCCGGGAGCTTGGCCCGCCCCCCGCCCGCCCCCGGCCGCCCGTCCCGCCGCCCAGCGCGCCCGCGCCCCCGGTCCCGTTCCCTGCCGCCGCCGCCGCCCGCGCCAAAGGGGGCAGCGACGGCCGCAACTGCCCAGATACGAAGTCCGCGAGTCCACCCGGCCGCCGCCACACCAACGGCGCGGGCGGCCCCGGCAGAGCGCGAGCAGCACTAGGCTCTGGGCCCACGAAAATGCGGCCTCCCCACCCCCGCGCCGCGCCGATGGCGTAGGTGGTGGCGCACCGGCCCCATTACGCAATGCAGGTTACGCGGGCCGTGCCGTGGGGCCCCGGCAGTCCGCCTCGCGGCCGCGAAGGACACCGGTCCTCACCTGAGACGCTAGGCCGCACGCCGCCGCACGCTATCCGGGACGCCTGCGCCAAGCCGGGGCCCGTCCGACGCGCCCGCTGCGCCGCTGCGCTCACAGGCCCCGCTCGCCCGCGGGCACCGCCGGCAGCTGCCGCCGCCGCCGCAGCCGCCGCCACTGCTTCGGTTCCTCGGCTGCGGGAGAGCAGAACAAACAGCCCTGCCGCCGCCGCCAGCGCACTGATGTCACCACGCACGCTGCGCGCGCGGCCCCGCGTCATCGCCGCCGCCCGGCGTGCGCGTCCTGCAGGTCCTCCCAGGTCCTGAGAGCTTCTCTAGAGCCGGCGGCAGTTGTAGAGGTGAGGACCGGAGACTGGCTCCCCCGACTGGGGGGTGGGGGGGCGGTCCGGGTCGGGGAGCCCTTGGAACACAATCGAGGGTCTCTGCGGACTGAGGGATGAGGCTGTGTACCTCACAAACTGAGAGAAGACCAAGAGAAGAGGACCCTCGAAAAAGGAGTCTTCAGAGCCACAAGAAAACAGCTTTTCGGAGGAATGAATCCGACACGGAGACCCAGGGAAGGAATCTTGCAGATGAGTGGGGATCGTCACATGAAAGAACGACAAAAAAAGGTTTTAAGCCAGAAGCAGACATCCAAAAATTTAAGTGATCGGATGACACTCAAAAGAGAAGATGGTGAAGAGAGACATCAAAGACAGGTGATAGAGGAACATTAAGGCCAGAGGACTGTGGTTAGTAGTGCTGCAGTGTGAACTGACAATTGCTGAAAATACAGACCTGTTTCACTACATTCCCTACACTCAACTTACAGAATCGGAATCAACTTAAGGAAGATATTCCTTGTATCATTGTATCAATATATCTGAGATAAGGAAATAAGCCAGCAGGGATTTTTTTTTCAGAGCAGGATATTAAGAATTCTTGGCCTTCTTGCCTCAGCCTTCCAAGTAATGAGATTACATGTGTTCACCACCACACACAGGCCTTCTTGGCCGGCCACTGTGGAAGTTCTGAAGATTGATCAGTACTGATCTCTAAGCCTAGGGCATTCTCCTCCTTGTCCTCCAGATTAACTTTAATTCTTGAAGACTTAAGCCAGCTCCCAGCATACTCTGAACTAGGTATATGACCCCTTGGGAGGTTGCAAACATCCCAGCCTGGAACACAGATCTTTGAAATTTTTCGAGACAGTGTTTCTCTGTATAACCCTGGCTGTCCTAAAACTGGCTCTGTAGACCAGGCTGACCTTGAACTCACAGATCTATCTTTCTCTGACTCTAGAGTACTGGGATTAAAGGTCTGCATTACAATCACCCAGCAAAAAAAAAATTGAAATTTTAAAGGTTCTCCTTACCAAAAAAAGTGTGTGTTTGTGTGTGTCTATTCCAGCACTAAGAAGGCTGATGGGAGGAAAAAAAAGGTTGAGGCAGAAGGCTCATAGATTGAAAGGCAGACCACTCCAAATAGTGAGACTGTCAAAAAATCAAACTGGCTAGTAACATGGCTCCAGTGTATCCACTGCCACTTGCTGCCATTTCTAACCACCTGAGTTCAATCCCTGGGACTAGCCCTCTGACCTCACAACATAAAGTCTTTTTAAAAAGCAGAATAAAAAAGAAGAGAAGTATTCCTTGCCATTGTGTTTCCCTCATGATTAATCAAAGGTAAATCATTGGTAAATTCTAAGCCAAGTAAAAATCAAGTTCTACTTTTGACTATGATAATTATGAGATGTGATTAACTACAAGAAGTAAAGAAATTGTAACATTTGTTACAACTCTGGGTTGCAGACCATTGAAATATTCCAAATACTGAAATTAAAAAATAGTCTACCATAGTGGTGCATGCCTTTAATCCCAGCGCTTGGGAGGCAAAAAAATCCAGATCTCTGAGTTTGAGGCCATCCTGATCTACATAGAAGTATCTGCCAGTCAGGGCTATATACATATGAGACCTTTTCTAAAGACTGGTGCTTTTGTTTGTATTTGTTTGTTTGAGACTGAGTCTCACTATGTAGCCCTGACTCTGCTGGAACTCACTGTATAAACCAGTTGGCCTCAGAGATCCACCTGCCTCTGCCTCCCCAGTTCTGGAATAAAAGGGCCTTTCTCCTGCACCCCGCCTACCCCCACCCACCCTTTCACACACAGGGCTAGGCTTACTATGTTGTGGTTAAAGAAACCAAATTGTATCACCTTTAAGCTGAACTGCCCCCACTCCCACTTCTCTTGTGTTACTAATTTAATTTACTAGTGTTACAGGCAACAAATGCTTTTGAAAATAATTTGGAGCTACCAGTTTGCAAAGCGTAATAAAATCTGGCTTCACAGCCCTTCTCCCCCCCCCCCACCAGGGTAAACAAAATAGAATGCCATGAGACATACAAAAATAGCAATTTATACCCTGGTGGGGGTGGTGCCTGCCTTTGATCCCAACACTCTGGAAGCAAAGGCAGACAGATCTTTGCGTTCAAGGCCAGCCTGGTCTACAGAGAAAATAAATGCCAGGGCTACGCAGAAAAACCTTGTCTGAAAAAAAAAAATAAGGCAATTTATAAAGTAACAGAGTGTAGCAAGTTCTAGGATGAAATGCTATGCAGACAGAAGTTTTTCATTTGTTTTGTTTGTTTGCTTGCTTTTTTGGAGGCCAGGTTTCCCTGTATGGCCCTGGCTGTCTCTGTAGACCACCAGGCTAGGCTCCAACTCAGAGATCACCTGCCTCTGCCTTGAAGTTTCATTTTATTAGTCATACTTCATCTTAGAAATTCAATCTGGGCCGGGCAGTGATGGCACATGCCTTTAATCCCAGCACTTGGGAGGCAGAGGCAGGCAGATTTCTGAGTTCTAGGCCAGCCTGGTCTACCGAGTGAGTTCCAGGACAGAGAAGCCCTGTCTCGAAAAACCAAAATAAATAAATAAATAAAAACAGAACAAAGCAGAAGGAAAAGCTTCTGTAGGGTACTGAAGGAGAGTCTCAGTCCTGCTGACCTAGACGTACTTGTTACTCCTCTTTCACCTGTTTTGAATTTTACAATTAAACTTAGCTGTCTCTAAAAACCAAAAAGATAACATTAAGGAGGGAAACATGAAGTACAGTAATGTCCAGCCTGGCCTTAAACTTGACTATAGGTAAAGATGACCTTGAACTTCTTTTTTTTTTTTTTTCTCCCGAGACAGGGTTTCTCTGTGTAGCCCTGGCTGTCCTGGAACTCACTCTGTAGACCAAACTGGCCTCGAACTCAGAAATCCACCTGCCTCTGCCTCCCAAGTGCTGGGGCTAAAGGCTTGCGCCATCACTGCCCAGCTGACCTTGAACTTCTTATCTTCCTGCCTCTATCTCAGTTCTACCAGTTCTGTGATTAAAATCGTGTGCCAACATGCCTGGTGATCTGGGCAACAAATCGAGGGCTTCATAAATACAAGGCAAGCATTCTGTGAACTAAGCCTCATACAAACAATTCTAATGACTTAGTTTAAATATGGTACTCATTTTGTAATAAAGCCATTTAAATTGAACAATACAAAATAATATAGGGAAAGTTAAGTTCTCTTTGTGTCTTGTTCTCTTGTTTATTGTTCCATCATAATAAACAATGCTATTAATTTTTAAAAATTATTTAACTTTATTTTTAACTATTGTCTTTTGTGTATATGGGTATTTTGCTTGCACATATATCTGTGTACCACATACATGCTGTGCCACAGAAACCAGAAGAGGGTGGTGGATCCCCTGAGACTAGAGTTACAGGTAGCTGTGAGACAGCACGTAGGAGCTGGGAATCAAACCCAGGTCCTCTATAAGAGGACCCAGTGCTCTTAACCACGGAACATTATATTTTCAGCCTCTAATAGTACTACATTGATATTTACTTTTTGTCCTATGCTACAGCTAAGGCTAGTAATCCCATGTACCAATTGAATGCTTAAAATGAAGCTGCCCTGAATTAAGAATTGTAAATGTAAACTGCACACTTGATTTTAGGTGCATTTTAGGTGATGGCTAGAGAGATAGCTTAGTAGTTAATAGCACTTGCTGCTCTTGCAGAGGACCTGGAGTTCAGTTCCTAGCTCTTACATTGTGGTTCATAAGTATTAGTAAGTAACTCTGGTTCCAGAGAATCCAATACATTCTGACTTCCATCAGTACCAGTCACACATGTGGTACACATACATACATATAGGCAAAATAAATAAATGTTGATGGCTTTTAAATTAATTTAAAATTAATGTTTTAATTTCATGTGTAAAAATTTAACATTGCCGGGCAGTGGTGGCGCATGCCTTTAATCTCAGCACTTGGAAGGCAGAGGCAGGCGGATTTCTGTGTTCGAGGCCAGCCTGGTCTACAGAGTGAGTTCCAGGACAGCCAGGGCTACACAGAGAAACCTTATCTCAAAAAAAAAAAAAACCAAAAAAATGCAATATTTAAGGGATTGTGAGATTGCTCAGCTGATCAAGGTACTTTCTACTGAGCTTGGTCTGATCTTTGACTGAATGAGACATGAACAATATGCACTCATCTCAGATAGGAACCAATGAGGAACCAAGATAATGCTGTTACCAAAGTCCAATTGGGTAAACCAATGAGTTTTATCAGGGTTACAAGAGCAGAAACGACTCAGACAGGTGCCTCATCAAAACCCCACCCCAGCATGAGTGACAGCTCGCTTGTAGGTAGATTAACAGACCAGAGAGTATAGTAGAATCACTGGTCTACTTTGGTCTGAGAATCTTTTTAGTAGTCCTCACTGTATCTGGCCAGTTTCAGGAACTTCCTGAAACCTTTTGGTTGTTGATTTCCTCATTGGGCCACTGTTTACAATACCCTGACCTTTTTTTCCTTATATTTTTGTTTTGTTTTGTTCTGTCAGAATAACTCTAGTTGTTCTGGAACTCACTATGTAGACCAGGCTGCCCTCCAACTCACAGAGATTTGCTTTCTTTTGCTTCCTAAATCCTGGGATTAAAGGTGTTAACTACTATGGTGTAACTACTATGGTGTCTTGAAGCATTTCCCTGAAGGTC